TCAGAATCTTTGTTTCCTTTGTAAAACTCAAGATGTAAGACAGGTATGGCAGTATTAGTTCTCTTGAGGCTGCTGGCAGGGGCTGGCTCTTCAGGAGAAAAATGGTTTGGAGGGTCACAAATGTCTCAGTGCCGGATTCCTGGTCACCTCTCCCTGCTCTGCTTTCCTCCACAGCTTCTCCCCAGACCCCACAAATCACCTCTATCAGTAGCACAGTCTCAGGTGAGTGTTTGTAATTGAAAGGTCCTATGAACTGGTTTTAGCAAATAAAAGCAAAGACAAAGGCAAAACATCCAAGAGACTGAGTTTCTCTACCCACAGTAAAAACTTTCCCTTCCCTCATCCCTGGCACCACGCTGCTTAGGCAGTTCTTCAGGCCACCTTTCTGGGCGCAGCCTCTCTCAGCCGTGGACTTAGATCTAGATTCCCCAACTGCTAGCACACTATGGACTTCCTTTCCACAGTCGGATATTACGCCTGTCCGCAGGAGACATGGCCTTGGTGCAGTGCAGCTTCCTCCTGACCCTCATCCTGGTGGTCGCATGTTCTCTCCATCCCAGATTTCCTGATCCTACAGTTTACCAGGCATCCTTGGCCCCACTCAGCTGCAAACTGTCTCATCAGCTGTGTCTAATTCACCAATTCCAGCTCTCCAATTTAGTTGCTTCTCTCTGCTCCAGGACAAGCGCAGGACACATCTGCCTATTTGGCCACCATTTTCTCCTCTCAATATAGCTTAATAATTAATTGCTCTGGCTCTGCAGAGAGATCTCTGTTCAAGTCACAGCTCTGTTGTTACAGAAAACGGGAAAAGAACCAAGCAACACTTAGAGAGATGGCGTTACATTTATTATGCACGGGCCCAGAGGAACATGTCTCCAAATTCTGGACCCCAACATGGAGGAACTTTCCTTATTTATATGCTTTTACCTCATTTGTCTCCCAAATATGGGGTGTTTCCGGCCCCCTTTGCAAGTTCTTAAAGAGCCCCTATGTGCTGGGACCTTGAAATCTCAACCAAAGGCTTGGCCTGGTGCCAGCACTGATAACTTCATCCAGAGAAGGTTTAATGGCCTCTCTGAAGTGGGAGTAGTCTTATTTCCTTATTACTTAAGCAAGCAAACATTTACAGAAGCCAAATAGTAGGGTTAAAATTTCAAAGAGCAGTTTTTATATAAGATGGATGCTTCACTATCACTATTAGCTACATAACCTAGAATATTTTATCTATCAAGGATTGTTGGGAATAGTAAATGAGGATACTTGTGAAGTACGGAATCTATACTAGGGTGATCCACCATCCCAGTGCACCTGGGATTGTCCCAGTTTTAGCACTGAAGTTCATGTCTCAGAAAACCTCAATCTCAGGCAAACGGGAATGGTTGGTCACCTGACCTGGCACATATATACTAATCCCTCACATTTAAACTTTATTGTCAGTTATAAAATAAGAGTTCCAAAGATGTAACATTTTCACTTTTCTAGCTAGAAAATTCTCATATCTACTCAAAACTTCCTACAATAGTTTGCCTTTCTGTCCCAGAAATGAAATACCATATTATGATACAGGTTTTTTATCCCCTTTTCAGCCTTTCTCCAAGACAAATAATAACTTCTCTTCTTACTGCTTATTACTCCCATCCTCGTTCCTCCAAAATACAGACATAAAGCTAGTCTCTTGACTGATGCCAAATAAGCAGAATGCTGTTAACTCTCCCATATTCCCAGGACAATAGAATAGCCTAGTAATCATGGTCACTGTAGGGCCTAATAAGAGCAGTGAGAGATAGGTCTAGTAATAATTAATGTCGTTTTCTAATACCTTTTTTAAAAATCGAATTAATTTAAACAATACAACAAAATTTAATCAACAATATAGTTGCCGTTGTTTTCTACTACTTGTGCCCAACGCTCAGGAAGCATTTTAATCCCTCTGTTGTAAAATTCTTGTGATTTTGATGCAAAAAATTCGGTCAATGCATTTTTTTTTTTTTTAATATATTTTATTGATTTTGTACAGAGAGGAAGGGAGAGAGATAGAGAGTTAGAAACATTGATGAGAGAGAGTCATCGATCAGCTGCCTCTTGCACACCCCCTACTGGGGATATGCCCGCAACCAAGGTACATGCCCTTGACCGGAATCGAACCCGGGACCTTTCAGTCCCCAAGCCGACGCTCTATCCATTGAGCCAAACCGGTCCCGGCCGGTCAATGCATTTTTGAAGCATTCTTCATTATTAAATTTTTTTCCAAGAAGAAAGTTTTGCAAAGAGCGAAACAAATGGTAATCGGAAGGGGCAATATCAGGAGAATATGCAGGTTGAGGGAGAACTTCCCATTCCAACTGGCGCAGTTTTTCAGCAGTGATTCTTGCAGTATGCGGTCGTGCGTTATCGTGGTGAAGAATTACGCCCTTCCGATTAATCAGCGCGGGTTCTTTTTCTCTTAAGGCAGCTTGGGCTAACCTTTCCAATTGGGCACTATACACTGCACTTGTAATGGTTTGGTTAGATGGTAAAAGTTCATAATGAAGAATTCCTTTAAAATTCCACCAAACACACATCACTTTTTTCGCATGCAAGTCGAAGGTTTTGGCGTGGGCTGCGGAGCTTCATTTTTGTCCAACCATTGAGGCCGCCTTTTCAAATTAACATACAGCACCCATTTTTCATCTCCGGTAACAATTTGCTCTAAAAACGGCAAACAGTTTTGACGAGAGAGGAGCGAACTGCAAATTGTGACTCTTTACGGTTGTTGTCGTCGGTCAACTCATGAGGAACCCATTTTCCAAACTTTTGGACTTTGCCAAGTGCACGCAATTGATTGGAAATTGTTTTTTGTGAACAATTTAAAGTTGTCGCAAGCTCTTGTTGGGTAATTTGAGGATTTTGCACCAAAAGAGCTTGAAGAGCTTCTTGATCAAAATTGGACACACGGCCTCGACCACTCTTGTCATCTAACGAAAAATTTCCCTCGCGAAATTTCTCAAACCAACGCTGGCATTTTCTGGCGCTAACTGCATCTTGACCAAGAGCACTACAGATGTTTTTTGCAGCCTCACTTGCTTTTCTTCCTAATTGGAACTCGTAAAGCATGCAGTGCCGAATATGCTCTTCATCCGCCATCTTCTTAGCCCTAGTTTTGCAACAAAAACCAAACCAAACACAAACTTTTTCAAGCAAAACTTGTTAATTGCACTTCACACGTTCTGTAGATACCACGTGTTTGAAGGTTATGTCAATACAAGTCAACGCCAAGCAAGATTTTAAATGAATGTTTAAAAACGACATTAATTATTACTAGACCCAATATAAAAGAACCTCACTGACACTCTGACCAAGAAGGGAACTCTGGGGTGTGAGGCAGGATGTTGAGGACTGGGTAACTTAACATCATCTACTCCAAAGAAGTAAGTTGAAAATGATATTTTTTTGGAAGAATGATATTCCACAAAAGAGGATATCTGCTAAAAAGACATGAAGGTGAGAAAAAGAGCTCTACTATTAGTAACTATTTGAGTGTATGCACTTGTTCCCCCCTCTAAGAATATCCCAAGCTATCAACTAAGGGCATACATTTCCCACCAAACTAATTTAGTCTCTTGTAAGTAGCAGATCTGGTACTTTATTGTGCCTTGAATGGTTAGTGGAAACCATGGTTGTCCATTCCTTTGGTGTCATGCAACTGTTGAGGTAATCTGCACACTGTGATATTGTACCAGTCTAGTTCCATCCATTCAAACTGGCTACCTGTGCAATTTACACACATTATTTACATTCATAATATAGTTTCATTTGTACAGAAATAGAAAAATCATTTAAAAATAGCAATCTAATATTAACTTCTAATAACAATTTGCATGCTTGTATTAAATCATTTCCCTTAAGCATGTGGTGTGTCACAACTCCCACCTACCGTGTTTCCCCGAAAATAAGACCGAGCGCATGGAAAGATAAGACATCCCCTGAAAATAAGACCTAGCGCAACTTTGGGAGAAAAAATTAATATAAGACACTGTCTTATTTTCGGGGAAACAGGGTATTAACTTCCTTTTTATTAATAAAAGCACCCATATTTTCATATATGACATACATTTGCACATATTTCTGATTTATATCCCATTTTCCTTCCCTTTCTCACTCTGGGTTGCTGGTCTTTTCTTTTTTAAGATATTTTTATTGATTTCAGGGAGGGAAATAGTGGGAGAGAGAGAAATATGGATGATGAGAGAGAAGCATGGATCGGCTGTCTCCTACATGCCCCACAATGGGGATTGAGCCAAAACCTGGGCATGTGACCTGACCTGGAATTTAACCGTGACCTCTTGGTCGATGCTCAACCACTGAGCCGGGCTGGGTTGCTGGACTTGAAATAGCTTTTCTTTCACTGGTCATGGAATAATCACTCACAAGCACTCCCTGAACTGTCCCACTCTAGGTCCACACTTGCGTTTCTGGGACAGATGGCTGAATTTCTCTATATTCAGAAACACCCCTCATTTGTTCAGGGAGAGGAACTGACAAGCTTTCTGACTAGGCCTCTTCTCTACTCTAGCAGAGGGACTTCATCTCAACATTTCAAAGTGAGTGAGTTCAACACTGCCATACATACCGTTTCATTTATTTTCATTAGGAAAAAGTATCACCCAGCTGGTGTGGCTCAGGGGTTGACCATCGACCTAGAACCAGGAGATCCTAGTTTGATTCCAGTCAGGGCACATGCTGGGTTGTGAGCTCGACCCTCAATTGGGGCATGCAGGGGGCAGCCGATTGATGACTCTCTCTCATCACTGAGGTTTATATTGCTCTCTCCCTCTAACTGAAATCAATAAAAACATATTTAAAAATAAAAGTCTTTATGACTCTTTTCTAAGAATTAAAGTTACTCTTCAGCTTAAAGTTGATTTTCTTCTCTGCGCTCCCTTTATTCTACTCTCCCTAAAATTAGAAAATAAAATATAGGCACAAAGGGATAGGAAACAGGGGGGAAGGATACTCACCGTTACTGCCAACTGCCTATAGGCCTTCTTCATTTCAACATCTGATGCTGTGGCTTCAACCCCCAACACGTGGAAAGGATTTAGCTCATCTTCAGGAATCCCAGCCATGGTCAAGAGTCGAGTCACTTCCTCTTCAGGGTGGTAATAGCGACCACCAGCTCCAGGTGCATTCTCTTGTCTGTTAGTCCTCTGTTTGACCCAAGGCAACTCCAGCCAACCCCACTGAACCATCCTTACCATTTGCTGCCACGGCCTGCTATCTCGCAGCACAATCAGACAACGCTGTAAGGTGGGAGAATCCAGCCAAGAGAAGAGCCAGGTGGCTTTAGCTCTCCAGCCCAACCGGTCACCCAGTCTCACAAGAAACTGCCAGCCCAACTGCAGACAGCCCAACAAGAGGGGCAGAGCCTGAAGCAGCAAAGCACCCAGTAGCCTAAGAAAACGGGTGATCAGCCCTGCCCCATAGCAAAACCCCTGGTTCAGAAATTGGAATATTACCTGGGCCCAGGCACCCAGTCGCCCTGCCCAGACTCCTGCCCAGACTCGAAAAAGGTCCAAATCACTGCCTTTCAGCTGCCTGCATGCATAGATTAGATGGCCACAAGTTTCCACATACTCTCCCACCAATACCAACAGTTCGATCAGCCACCAGAAACCTGCTTGTCCAAGCTGACACAGTTCTTCCGCTCCCCATAATCCCAAGCCTCTGCGCTTCTCTGCTTGACTTCGTTTCCTGCCCAGCCGATGTCGACCAGGGGGCCTGGGATCCCTGCGTCCACCCTCCCAAGTATCATCCTTGGCTGAAACACGGTGCCGCTGTCTCCGGGGTGGAGGTTTCTTTCCACTGGGCACACGTGAAGAATCACTGGGGAACTTGGGTTCCTCCTCCTCATATTCCTCTCCCAACTCTTCGTGTTCTCCTAAAGCTGGAGACATACAATGGTGGCAAAAGTTGCTAGAAGAGTTGTCTCCTCCCCCAGTGTAAGGCTCTTCAGGGATTCCAGGGGTTCCCTGGCAGTTGCAAGCAGATGGAATGGAAATAAAAGAAGGGTTTTCATCCTCCTGGTGCCCAGCCTCATCCTCTCTTGAGCGTTCCTGGTCCACTCCTGACTCTTCTTCTGAAGATGCCTCACTCTGATTAGGGTCCTCTCCATTTCTAGGGGGTCCTGGACCCCTTGGGGGGCCATGGCTTGGATCCCACCAGTGGGCTGGGTTTGGAGGCTGTGTGTACTTAGGACTAGAATGCTTTGTGAGGCAGCGGGTACCATTAGGAGCAGGCCTCCCTGAGTCCCTGAGTCCTGAGAATGAAAGTATTTCAGGGTCCAGAGAGGGTCCTAAAGTCCCGAGGGAGGCACCACTACTGTGGTGGGCTCCACACAACTGTCTTTCTCCGGGGTGCTTCTGGGCCATGACCCCCTGGCTTCCAGAAGATTTTAGGTCACAGCCATCATGGTAAGTTCGGATGCCTGTAACAAAGTATCAAGTTGAGTCAAGGATAGGTCCGAGAAAGGGGTTAAATTGAGGCTATATATATAGTACATAGAATGCATCCACCTCCCTTACATTCCCAAGTTCTTTGGGGGCATTTATTACCTCTAGCAATAAGCCAATTCTACTTTAACCAAAACACCACTCCCTGCCCCCTCCTCCAACTCCACTTAAGTTTTTCTTCTCTCCCCTGAAAGATACAGCTCTGGTTCCGGAAAAGAGGGAGGTACCGCAAAGGTTGAAGTCCGGGGATCACTCTGGGGAAAAACAGAAAGACGATCGAAAGGAGGGCTGCAGGCTGCCTGAGAAGGGTGGGGACCCTGCGGCCCTTAAAGAAAACCTGGAGGCGGAGCTTGGGGTTGCCCCTGAGACACACAACCAGGGAACCCTGAGTCCGGGCAGACGGGGAGAAGGTAACGTACCGAAGAGCAGCGGTAACTCCTCCCCCTCGAGCCGCTGGGCCCAGATCCAAGGCAGCTAAGAGAGCGGCTCCCCGGGCTCCGCCTCCCGCTCAAGCTCTGCTTCCGCCTTCGGTCCCCGTCGCTAACGCCGACCTACGCCTACTTTCACTTCCGGGGTCACCACAGAAGACAGGAAAGAAAAGGAAAAGCGGTTGGCTGAAGCGCGAGCCAGTCTAGCGAGCGGCGTGTCCAATCAGAGGAGGCGGTCCTCGGGGAAACGCAGGCTCCGCCCCTTAAAGGGCCCGCGGCCGCGGACCTCCGCGTGCTGAAGTAGAATCCCTGCAAGTTGCACCCGTGGAAGCGAAGCAAGTGGGTGCTGCTGCAGCAGTGCCTGCGCTTTGGGGACAGATTCTTAGGGTTCCTCTGGCTGGATTTTTTGGGCTTTTCCGAGACTGGGAGATAGAGGACAGCCTCTGAGCCATAGTTTTGTTTCCCTTTGCGGACAAAACTAGGGAGCCTCGAGGGGCCACCGCCCTGACCCCTTCCTCGCTGGCTGAGGACAGAGGCTCTTTTGTATCATGTCCTCTCCTAGAGGCGACACCCCGGGCCAGCCCCCGCGCTGGTCCCCCCTAGCACTGCACCTTCTTCCCCAGCAACCCACGGCCTCCCCGGCTTCTGACCCAGCTGGCGAACCGCCCCGTGTATCTGCTGCGACCACGGCCCGGACCCGCCCCTCTGGACGCGGCTCCAGGCTTCCTCACGGAGCGGGGCCCGCCGCCGCAGGCTGCTTTACATCTCATTTGCATACCGAGCCGCACGGCGGCCGGAGGCCGGCGACCCCTCCCCCACGCGGCCCGGCCGCCCGGCCTGCGGGCCCCTCCCCTGCACACGCCCCCCTCGCCAGCCTCCTGGCAGGCTTGGCCTTTCTCCGCCGGCTCGTCCACCCCCGGACCCCTCGCCGGCGGCCCCAGGGCGGCGAGAGGCTCTGCCCCAAACCCCCAGCCCCGACCACCCGGTCCTCCAGAAGACAATACTCCCATTCTCTGGGAAGTGGGAGAAACCACGGCAAAGCTAGGGGGGCGCTGAGACCCCACAAGGGGCTCCGAAAGCTCCCAGTTGTCGAGTCATCGCCTAGGCATCCAGAGACTTCTCCGCAAACCTCTGGTGCACCCAGGACCCCCATCCACAGGGAGTGGGGTCTCTGGTCCCAGCCTCAAGCAGGAGGTCAAGTGTGTCCCCCCACACACAGGGGGAAGAGTTGGAGGGGCCCGCCCCGTGATGTCACCCCCCCCCCGCCCTGTAGCCTTCCTCCACCCCCCACCCCCCACCCCCCCACAGCTGGTTGCTTTTAGTTCACGGGGCTTGGGCTACGACTTGCAAGAGTTTAGGGGGCCACGAACTGAGTGGCCTTGAGGGTGCCGACGCCCGACAGCCGCCAGGACACCTAGGACCTCCGGGCAGGGATGCAGCTGGGGGTCCAGGGGAGCACTTCTACCCCCTTCCTCTCCTCAGCCCTGGCAGGGTGGTGAGTAGTTAACACCCCCTCCCAAACCTCTCCTTGCTTGTTTAGGGTCCCTAGGCTTCCAAGAGAATTGAGGAGAGGAACCCCAGGGGTTCCCCAAACCAACCCTTCCAGCCTGTTAGGACCTTCACGTCCAGAAGAAGACAGCTGAAGGAATGTGGCTGCATCGCCCCTACCCCAGTCCCACGGTGCCCCCAACGCCAGCCCCTCTTTCGCGTGCTCCCCTCGGGAACCGAGTGCCCATCGCACTGTCAGCCCTGAGTCCCCCGGGGAAAGGGAGGGATGGGAAAAGCCCCAGGGTCCTGAGGGGAGGAGCAAGAGGCCACCGGAACCTGTCTGTGGGCAAGGTGCCTACTTATTCCGTGGGGGTCCTGGGGCCGGACTGGCTGGAGGCCTCTCCCACAGCAGCTCCATCTCCCAAGAAGCAGACTTGAAACCATGGCAAATGTGGATTCCTTGCCCCAAACTCTTTTGGTTCCTGCCCCTCCCCCCTCTCCCCTGGGGTTGGAGCAGCCGTCCAAAGACCCCACCCTTCCCTCCTCTTTCCCCTCCTTCTCCCCCTTTTATTAACCCCGCCTCTCCTAGTCCAGCGTGGTAAAGTTGAGTCCCAGCTGCAGATGGGGCAAGCTTTCTTTTTCCAGCTGGAATAAGTTGCTGCAGCCCCATTAGTGCCCCTGGACTCCTCCTTCCACAGATCTTAGGACTTCCTGCTCCTCCCATCCCACCCTGGAAAGTTAGGAGGCAAAAAAAGGTCCATCACCTTATAAGATTTTCATTTATGTTTGTTTTTTTAAATATATTTTTTATTGATTTTTTACAGAGAGGAAGTGAGAGAGATATAGAGAAACATCCATCAGCTGCCTCCTGCACAACCCCCACTGGGGATGTGCCCACAACCAAGGTACATGCCCTTAACCGGAATCGAACCCGGGACCTTTCAGTCCACAGGCTGACGCTCTATCCACTGAGCCAAACCGGTTTCGGCTTCATTTACGTTTTAGTTAGTATCCTTGCTGCACAGCTGGCTCCCCTCGACCCAATCCTGTAAATTTTTTTAGTTACCCCGGTAGGGCCATGCTCCCTCCTGAAGTTTTCTTCAAATGAAATAGAGGAACAAAGTCTTCAAAATTCATGGACACCTGAGTTGCTGCCCCTACTCCCTTGCAGGTTTCCCACACCCCTCAGGACATCCATGGATGGATGAGAGGAGCTGACATTGACCTCCCCCTCTGGGACCACCTTCTCTTCCTGCCATGGAGGAAGCTTTGCTGCCCCTGGGCATGACCTCTGACCCCAGGCCCTTTAATCAACAACTCCCAGAGCCTCCAGACCCAAGATGTGTCTTGGAACCCCAGGACAATCCTGAACTGGCACCTGCCCTGGTGTGTGCTCTTTGCTGCTGCTTTGGAATCATCTACTGCTGCTTCGGTGAGGGCAGAGCCAGGGTTCTGGGGGGCAGCTGCCCAAGACTGTCACCCTCAAGGATGCTATTACCTTTCTCCTTTGCTCCTGGGCTACCTCTACTACTCTACCAGGGAGTGCCTACCCTCAGTATGGCCCATGCTGCTCTTGCCAGCTCTTCTTATTTATGCCCCCCATGCCCTCCAGCTGTGACCCCCTGGCACTCTCGCTTGTCTTCCCCACGCCTTCTTCCTCAAAACTCCATCCCCAAATTATCATCCATGCTTCAGGCTTCTTCACCCTTCCCCAATGACCTGAACCAGCTTATGCCGATCGCTTCCCATCTACCATCCCCAGAAGGACTGGACCTTTTTTCTATACTTACTCCCCTTCATGCATCCATCCTACCTCCTTCTTTCCCTCCCGTCCCCTCACAGATTCTGAAAGGTCTCTGCCCTCCCTGGTATTACTCCTTTCTGCCACTTGCCTTGAGATCGCTGGGTGTGTTGCTCCCGTCTTTTTTTTTTTTTTTTTAATATATTTTATTGATTTTTTATAGAGAGGAAGAGAGAGGGATAGAGTGTTAGAAACATCAATGAGACAGAATCATCGATCAGCTGCCTCTTGCACACCCCCCACTGGGGATGTGCCCGCAACCAAGGTACATGCCCTTGACCGGAATCGAACCTGGGGCCTTTCAGTCCCCAGGCCGAGGCTCTATCCACTGAGCCAAACTGGTTTCGGCATGCTGCTCCCGTCTTCTGCTCTTCTGTTCACCATCAGAGTCATCCCTATGGACTCCTCCTACCCCTCCCTACCTCTCAGTGCCCTGCCTCCCTTCCCAGGCTACCGCTGCTTCAAGGCGGTGATGTTCCTCTCCGGCCTGCTGTCAGGAGCTCTGGTGATCTTTCTGCTGTGCCACGAGGAGCGGGTGCTGGAGACCCAGCTGAGCCTGGAGGTGAGCGCGGGCATTGCGCTGGGCATCGGACTCCTCTGTGGCCTGGTCACCATGCTGGTGCGCAGTGTCGGGCTCTTCCTGACTGGTCTCCTGCTAGGCCTGACCCTGGGCGCCGGGGCCCTGCTGGGCACGGAACCCATCTACCAGCCACCTTCAGCCTGGGTGCCGGCTGGGGGGCTGGTGGGGCTGGCGCTGCTGGGAGCCCTGCTCACGCTTCGGTGGCCACGTCCATTCACCATTCTGGGCACAGCCCTGCTGGGCGCTGCGGTGCTGGTGGCCTGTGCTGACTATTTCCTGGAAGGGCTGGCACTGGGCAGTCGGCTGGGCCAACGCTTGCAGGCACTTCCAGCCTTGCCTCCTCTCTGCTGGTATAGCTGGGCCTTGCTGGGGACTTGGCCAGCCCTGGGGGCCCTTGGGGCCCTGGCCCAGTGGAAGCTCGTGGATGAGGAACATGGAGGCCACGCCAATGGTGAGTTAGTGCCACGGTGAGAAGCAGCCAGCCTGTGCCTTCCCCTGTCCCCAGGGCCAGACTTGAGGAGGGAAAGGGGAGGGGGGAGGGAAATGCACTTGAGAGGAGAGAGGAGGTGTCTAGGGAGAGCGGGGCAGGACATTAGAGAAAGGAGGTTAGAATTGGAGGAGCCAAAAGTCTGGGTAAGGATGAGGAGAAAAATTGTCGGGGGGAATGGGGAAGTTATTTATTGGAGACTGCTTATGGAAAATACCGAAGATCTCAGGAAAGTCCAGGAGGAGAGAGTAGGGAGACTCCAAAGAAGGGTTTCTTTTACAAGAACTGGGGGGAAGAGAGGGGGGAGAGAGACAAGGTTTGATAGAGCCAGAACAAGATCACGTGGGTTTCTCTGGAGTGGCAGTGTGTTGGGGGCGGGATCTGGGGTCTAAGGAGGCCTCCCTCAGTCTGCGTTGCCCCCTCCCAAACAGTGGTCTTGAGCCACCAGCGAAGGCACCTCCAGCTCCTTCGGATCCGTCAGCAAGAGGCCAAGTGGCACCGGACCGCCCCTGGGGTGGGGCTCTGTGAGGGCAGCTACCGGAGGCAGCTCCCCGCCAACACCCGGAGCCCTGCCGACAGTTTGGCTCCAGTGAGTTGTGGGGAGGGGGCATCCTGGGGGGTGGGGAAGAGGGTACATGGGGAAAGTCAGGGTGGAACGGGGACTGACCCAGGCCCTTCCTTCTGTCCTCTCTGCCCTGTGCTCCTCCAGAGTTTTCTCCAGAGCCTTCGAGATCGCCAACTGGGACCAGGCAGCCAGGCCACAGCCCCCCACACCATCCTGGACCTGGATTCTGGCTATGGTTCCACTATACCCCTCACCACACCTTCTGGTTCCACCCAGACCTGACCCTAAACCTCCACTGATACCCCCGTGCCCCTAGCAAGGGCCTGGGAGCACTAGGTGGGCAGGACCGAGCCCACAGGACTCACACACAGACTTCCCCGCCTCTTAGACCTGGGGATGGGATCTGTGCTCCAGCCTAGACCAGACCCGTAGGGAGAGGCTTCAGAGCTGGAGACAGAGGAATCTTGGGGAGGGGAGGGGAATGGACGTATGAGTAGCTACGCCTGTCAATAATAGAGGTGCCTGCTCCCTAAAGTATTGACTCTCTGATTCCCTCCAAATTGAGGGTGGGGGGCGCCCTTCCCCAGAGAGCCTTTCATATGCCTGCCTCCGTGTGCCACAAAACGGTAAAATAAGGGGGTTTGTTTCTGTAGGAACTGTAGGAAATCAGGAAGCCTCCTAAAGCACTTGTTAGCTTTTTTTTTTTTACGTGTTTTTATGGATTTTTAGAGAGAGAGAGGGGAATGGAGAAGGGATAGTGAGATAGAAACATCGATGAGAAAGAAGCATCCACCGGCTGCCTTCTGCACAACCCCTACTGGGGATCAAGCCCACAGTTGGGACATGTGTCCTGACCTGAAATCAAACCAGCAACCTCTTGGTTCATAGGCTGATGCTTAACCACAGAGCCACACTGTCTGGGCACTGATAGCTTTTTGGTGGGGAGAAGGGCACAGAGGATCCCCCAATCCCCAGGCCCCTCATTAGGGGATAGCCTTTCCCCCTGGCCCCATAGGCTCAGCCCCCTCCTCCTACCTCAGATGGGGGTATTGTCCTCTGCTGTGCTTCCCTCTCTCTGCTCAATGTGGGGAAGAACATGGGGCTGTGCCTGGCTCAGCCCCCGCCTTCCCCAAAGGCGGGCTTCTTGCTCCGAGGCGGGAGCCGTGGCCTACATGCCAGAGTGTTGCCTTTTGCCCAAAGGAGCCTGGTCTTCGGGCCTGTGTGGGAGACAAGTGCCTTCTCTGCCTTTCTGTGTGGGTGATGCTAATTTCTTCCTTAACCAGAACTCTGCCCCCGCCGCTAAGCCATTCCAACTCTCCCCGCTGTGACTCTCCCCCTCCAAGTCAGAGCCCCGATTCCCCAGGCGGCATGGAGGAAGATGTGATATGTCCCTCCCCTGGGCAGCCAGGCTACGGTGAGAGGGAGGAAGAACATGTGACCGTGTGAATAAAGTGGCATTAATTAAAACACTGAATCAGAGAGTCCGGCCTCTATTGTTGCTGCTCTTTTGTTCCTTTGCATCCCAAAACAAAGTTAGCCATACTGAGTCCTCTGTCCACTAAAAACCCGATAAGGACGCCCTTAGCAGACCGGACTCCTGTAGGAGCTACACACACACACACACACACACACACGCATACATACACATACATATACACACATACAGCACATATGCACATACACACACATACACACATATCCGTGCACACACACATACACATACACACACGCACGCACACACATATACACGCGCACACATATACACGCATACATGCATACGCATACACACATATACAGGCATACACACATATACACACACGCGCACACACATATACACACATATACACACATATACATGCACATATACACACATACACGCACACACATATACACACGCACGCACACAGCCAGAGGAAGCGCTGTTCAGCCCTCTCTCAGGAACATGGAGTGAGCCTTTATTAAGCACAAATGTGCCTGAGCCTGTCAGGCACTTCACATACAGTATGTCACTTAATGCAACAAACCCTATAGGGTTGGTATGAACCTTATTTTGCAGACGGGAACTCTGAAGCTCAACAAGGTTAATAAACTTGCTCAAGTCATAAACAAGCCCACGTTATTCTCAAGGATTCCAAAACCCTTGCTCATTTTAGTGGCCATGCTGCTATTGTTTTTGTTGTTGTTGTTGTTGTTCTTTTGTGGGGTTTTTTTTTGCACTTCATCTAGGAAGAACAAGACCCAAATATTCAGCTTCCTAGCTGTTGCCTCCTGTCAGGCCTGACTGACACCTTCTCTCTCCCGCTGTTTTCCAGAGAGTGGGAAATGCAGTTAGAAGTGCTGTCTAAAATGAGAAGAAATGGGTAGAGTTGGGGGCTGACCCAGCGCACAGGGGAATGGGGCTGGGACAGTTAGGTCTGAGGTCTGTGGTCCATGTCCCCGCCGCAGCACCTGCAGTCCAGCGTGGAGACATCTGGTGGCGGCCTTAGGCCTCTGGGGGGATGACATCACCAGGGGCTGTGTCTCGGGGTGAGTGGTCAGAGTTTAAGGTGGTGTCTACGGACAGGGAAGTGGGAGCCCAGGTTGTTCCTGTGACTGAGCGGTCTGGGCCTGAGGCGAAGGGAGGGGTGCCTCCACCTGATGCGGTCGTGTCTGGGACTTGGGGACGACAGTGCATCCAGTTGCGGGCGGTATCTCTGGGATAGCCCTTCTCTACTCGAAGCTGCTTGTTGAGGCGCCAATACTGTTTGCCCTTGAAGAAGTAGACGTGGCCATCCTGCCAACTCATAGCAGCTGAGAGCCGGTCTGGCACTCCGGTGAACAACCTCTTGATTGGTTTGGGGTAGTGGCTGAAGTCGGTTCGGGCCAGCTCATCCCACTGCCAGTACCCGGAGCCCTAGGTGTGGGGTGGGTAAGGAAAAAAAGGAGCGTGAGGAGACAGCTTAGGGACCCCAGATACCTACCTTCAGTCCACAGCGGCTGCAAAACCCCCTTTAGAAACAAGTCTTAGCTTCTCCATGTGAAATAGCCCACCCATCCTAGGAAGGGATTTGCCCTTGATTTTGAAGCGTGTACCTTAAAGAGGAACACCTTCTGGTTGACAGGCCAATAGAGAGCTGCATCCAGGTTGGGTTCCACCCTATTCAGCCTCTTGGGGAAGCCAGGAGATAACTTGAAATGAACGTAGCGCCACACCTTGTCTCCTGAGGACCCAGAAGAACAAGTCACCTCTGGCTTCAGTTGATAGTTTTGGTTCCTCCTTTGCCCCTTCTCAGAAACTTCTCATCTCTCCCTCCCCTCTATGGCTTCTTTGATGTCAGGTCCTCTCAGATCAGATGCATACATTAGTCCCTTTACCCTTAAAGAAGTAAATCCATTGTGTTCGAGGAGAGTAGACAGCAGCGTCCAGGTTTCCTGGGAGTCCCTCCCAAAGAGCAGAGGCTTGGAATAAGGGACCCAGCCCCGAATCTGTCACCGTCCACACGTAGCTCCCCTTGAAGGCATAAGTCTTCCCACGGGGCCCTGAGAGCAAAGATGTGTCAACAAATTGAAAAGACAGGGGTCAAATAACTACTTACGGTCATCTCAGGCAGGCTGATCATTTCCCCTTCTCCCACAGCCCGATTCCTCCAAAAGTCATCCAGCTTTAGTTTCAGTGAGATTAAGGAGGTAGAGAAGGAGGACCCAGACTTCAGCCTCTCCTTTGTTGTTCCGAGCAATTGAGGTCTGGTCCACTTAGCGAAACTGAAGCCCTGCACATAACTGCTTCCCCTTGGGGGAACTCCCTTTCCATCCCCGGGGGCTTCCAAGTTATTCTTCCGTGCAGGGATAATGCCTCCTCTAAAAGACATTCCGGTTAATATACACTGAGTGGCCAGGTTGTTATTATGATCTCTAATCTAATAACAACCTGGCCACTCAGTGTGTGTGTGTGTGTGTGTGTGTGTGTGTGTGTGTGTGTGTGTTTTAGAGGCCCGGTGGATGAATTTGTGCATGGGTGGGGTCTGGCCAGCTTGGCCAGGGGGAGGGGACATGGGTGTTTGGACAGCCTGTCTGCTGGTTGAACTCCTGGTCAAGGAAACTATTTGCATATTAGCAAATTATATAGGATATACACTGAGTGGCCAGATTATTATGCGTTCAGAGATCATAATAATCTGGCCACCCAGTGTAGTTTTCTCCATCTTGCTGTATTTCCAGGTGTGTCTTAGTGGCCCTTGCAGCAACTGAGGTAAATGCCTACCTGGCCCATCTTTAATTTGGCTCTGAGCCCTCCCTCCCCATGCCACATGCCTCTTTCTATGACCACTAACTCCTGCCTGCTCATGCTGCGATCCCACATCATTCCCATTTGTCCAGGTCTCAAGGTCAGCAGGCTGCCATCACTGCTTGCCTATAGGCTGGCAGGGCAAGGGTCTCACCCATCATTATGGCATCCAGTTCACCACTGCAGGGATCTGGCATAGGACTGGGTTCTGTGGGCACTTGGGGCACAAGGAGTTCTGTCACTTCTTCCTCATCCTCTGTCTCAGAGTTCTTCTTGCCTGCAAGGTAATGTAATGCTGCTCAGAGAGGGAACTCGTAACTCCCGACCTCCTCACTCCTCTGTATGTTTGGCTCAGAGGCCCCATAGCGATGGGGAAAGGGGATCCTAGAGAGTTTCCCTTGGTAGGAGGCAAGATCATATTGATATTAGAAGGAGCATGTTTTGGTTTAGGAGGAAGAAGGTTTATTGAAATAGTCATTCTTCATCCCCAAGAATGGGTCTGAGGGGAGAGAGGCTGCAAAGCAAGGTTAGATGTGGAAGTGTCTGAAAATAGAAGTCTGAACAGCTTGGCAGGAGGAAGAGAAATAAGCTAAGCCATTTCCCTCAGTGGAGGTTAGAACTGCCTCTTCAAACCTGAAGATGCTTATCTGACTGACCCTCATGATCACTCGGAGAAGGCCTACCATAGAGAGCCTGGATCCCCGCCACGTCATCTGGGTGCAGCTTGAAGTGGGGCCGGTAGCCAGCGTAGACAGGGGCCATGAGGGCTTGGGTGTATCGGGAGTGCCCGAGCCCCAGGGCATGGCCCAGTTCGTGGGCTGCGATGATGCGAAGGTTCATCCCCTGGTAGGTCCCCTCGGTCCAGCGCTCATCTTCATCGAAGTGCACGCTGCCCAGCTCTGGAATGTCGGCATGAGCCAGGACCCTCCCTGGACAAAGGCAAAAGGTGGGTAGGAGATAGGTCAGAGCTCCTGTAATAAACTTCAATTACTCCATCCCCATAAAATTCCCCCATCTTTGGTCACTGTCTCTGGGATACCTCACTCTCTTCTTTGGATTCCCCGGTCATCGCCCCGTTCTTACAGGGATGCCCATCACTCTGCTACGTTCCCTCCCAACCCCTCTCCCCTCTCTGCTCCAGTCCTCTCTGGGTTGTGCCTTGAGCAGGGTCCAAGGGAGGTAGGGGATCAGCTGCTTCCCTTGGGCTGGATGGGCATAGGGATCAGCCTAAACATTAAGGTTCCAGAGTCCGTGGCTCAAGGAGACAGAGATGATCTCAGAGGTCTGTCTGGTGAGAGCCACGATCTGGTACCTACCAGGCCCATCAAAGGTGTTAGAGCAGTACGGGCTTTGGCGGCCATGAAAGGAGAGGCGGATGTCAGCCCAGCCAGCCTGCACCTCCCGGAAGGTCAAGGGGGCTACGTTGCTCCAATACCGGAAGGCCTGACGCAGGGCTGCACGGGCCGTGTGGGGAGGGAGGGTGGAAGGCAGGTTCAAGATGCGGAAGGTCAGGTGCTTTTTTCTCCAGCGGCCTGGTTATTGGGCCAGGAAATAGATTAGAAACACAGATCCTTCTGCCAACCAGAGAGCTCTGCTGACGTCGCGCACTCACTCAGCAAAGCTATGTAACAACCCTCCTGCCACGTGATGATCAATCAGGTGACAACCAGGTTACCACCCATCCGACACTGAGCTATCCAGGCTGCCCATGCCACCTCTGCCCGTCGCCCCTCCCCCAGGCTCAGGCCTCACCCAGCAGCAGGTATTTAAGGGTCTTCTGATTGAAGGGGTCTTCCAGGCCACACCGGGGCTGGCTCATGCGGGCCCTTGTGGCTTCATCCAGCTGACCTGAGACCGGAAGCTCAGATGCTTCCTGAAAAGCTCTGAAAAGAGGAAGAAGGATGGGTCCAGCAAGGTAGGGGAATCTGGGATGACTGGGCATCTGAGGAAAGCTCGTTGGCTCCCTGCTGCCCAAAGTGATAGCTGAGAAGCTCTGAAGATGACGGGTTTACTCCCGCATCCAGTTCTCATAAATTGGACTTTCTCTTCTGTTCCAACCTTACCTCCCCATCTCCAGGCTCTCATTTGGGTAAGGTTCTCCTCGGTGTAACCTACCCCCTCTCCCCTGCCTCCACTGCCATCTAACTTGCTCCGGGGACATGTCCTGATCCCTTGCTCTGGAGACTCACCTGCCTCTGCTCCCACCTGAGGACCTGTCCTCTCTCAGACTTCTCCCTCCTGGCTGGATACCACTCCCAGCCCAGCCTGCTCTAGGGCAATTTCATCCATCAGGCACTGCAAAAACAGTGGCTTTTCAAGGGATTGTGAACAGATGTGAGAGCAAAAAGAATGATCCGCCGAAACCGGTTTGGCTCAGTGGATAGTGTCGGCCTGCGGACTGAAAGGTCCCGGGTTCGATTCCGGTCAAGGGCATGTACCTTGGTTGCGGGTACATCCCCAGTAGGGGGTGTGCAAGAGGCAACTGATTGATGATTCTCTCTCATCAATGTTTCTGACTCTCTATTCCTCTCTCTTCCTCTCTGTGAAAAATCAATAAAATATGTATTTAAAGAAGAAGAAGAAGAAGAAGAAGAAGAAGAAGAAGAAGAAGAAGAAGAAGAAGAAGAAGGATCCGATGGATCCAAAATATAAAAATAAAACTTCAAAATAGAAATAAATGATGAGTTAAATGTCCACAAAAAGACAACAGCATGTCAACAACTCAACCCCAATTCAACTCAATTCATACTTTTGCATATAAATTATGCTTAATGTGGGTTGAGACTCAATGTTAGTATCTGAATACCACGTGGAGCAGCCAAAGGAGTGTTAGGGCCTCAGAAGACTCAATGACTGCTTCTCGTCTTTGAATCCCCATCTCACCCCATGCCCACCACCCTGACCGTGATAACCACCCATTCCCTAGATACCAACAGTGATTTGGGTCGGGCAGAGGAGGCTTTAGGGAGAGGAAGGGACAAGAAGAGGGAAAGACCTCGCCATCTCAACCCTGTAGGCATGTGCTTTCTGATCTCTCACCTCAGAGCCTCCGTGACATCTTCTAGCCTGAAGTTATCAGGTCCTTCTAGAGGCTTCTGGAGGTACCCATATTGCAAAAGGTAATCCTATGACAGAGGCAGGGGTTAGCAGGACCAAAAAGTGGGTTCGTCTCCGGGGAAAGCCTCTCAGAGACCTAACGAACCACGTGGAGAGGAGGGGACAGGCATGGGGGATTAGAAGGGAGACCCCTTAGGAAACGGGCTCCGGGGGAACAAGAGGAAGGGGTGGAAGGTGGACAGGGACAGATCCCAGAGTGGAGGAAGGAAGGGGAAGGCAGGCGGGTTGACGGTCAGGAGGGAGGCTTGGATGGGCTATGGAACAGTTCCCCAATTCCTCCCCTGGCTGAGGTCCTTCGTGCCCAGGGGACTCACCACTGCTGCCTTCTTCTCTGCAGGCCCCAGGGCCCGGCCTGTGACTGTCATGGGAAGTAGGAAGCCCAGCCACAGCGGCCGCCAGTTCATGGTCCCACCACACAGGAGCTCCAGAGGCTGACTGTGGCCCCTGCCCTGGAATTTCTGGGAGCCTGTGGGAGCAAAGATGGGGGGCAGGGGGACTCTTGCCTCCAGTACTTTTCACTTTTTAGTCTCTGGTCCTTTTTATAGAGAAACTGGGGGGGAGTGGCAGTGGGAGGTGACTCAGCCCAGAGATATGTTGTAATTCACCATTAACCCCTGCCCTGCCAGAGGGCAGAGTCAAGAAGATCCCCCAGCCAGGCCCCAGAGTGTTCTGCTGCAGTTAGTAAGACTTTTCACACTGTCAGGGGGTGGAGGGGAGCATTTTATTTTCTTTTTTTATATATATTGTATTGATTTTTTTTTTTTTAATAGAGAGGAAGGGAGAGAGATGGAGAGTCAGAAACATCAATGAGAGAAAAACATCGACCAGCTGCCTCCTGCACACCCTCTACTGGGGATGTGCCTGCAACCAAGGTACATGCCCTTGACCGGAATCGAACCTGGGACCTTTTAGTCTGAAGGTTGACGCTCTATCCACTGAGCCAAACCGGTTAGGGTTGGAGGGGAGCATTTTAGAAGGATGAGAAGCAGAATCTCTTCAGAGACTAGGGGTAGGGACCATAATCATCCCCTGGAGCTGCATATTCCTATGCCTCAGCAACCTCATCTTCAACCTTCATGTCTCCCTGTCTACTCTGAAATGGGGATGGGAGAAAGCGGGATGGTGAAGCTAAGAGGTAGAAAGAAGTTTAGGTTCTTGGATTTCAGGTGAAGGAATGAAAGATGAGGCGTTATATTTATTTTTCCCCCAAGACCAATTTGGAAATTGATGTTTATTTGTTTTTTAAATATATTTTTATTGATTTCAGACAAGAAGTGAGAAGGAGAGAGAGGTAGAAACATCAATGATGAGAGAGAATCACTGATCGGTTGCCTCCTGCAGGCCTGCACTGGGGATTGAGCCCGCAACCTGGGTTTGTGCCCTTGACCAGAATTGAACCTGTTAACCTTCAGACTGCAAGCCAACGCTCTATCCACCAAGCCAAACCAGCTAGGGCCCAAGTTTGAAATGTAAATGCTCTTGAAGATGACTGTGTCTGCTTTCATAAAAAGTCATGATTTCAAGTGTTTAATGAGCCTGGGATGGAGGTAGGGTTCACAAGGGCACAAAGAAGTAAAGGGCAGGAGACTGCACAGGGAGCTTACAGATAGGGTCAGGGCAATCCAAGTACCTGAAACGAGGGGAACCAGGTGCCCATCCTCAGGGTCATGGGCTGTGGAAAGGTTCGCTGAGAAGGCAGACTTTTTTTTTTTTTTTGTAATTTATCATTATTGTTGAAAGTATTACAGATGTCCTTCTTGCTCTCTTTTTGTTTGTTTCCCATTAAGCCCCTCCTCCCTGCACCGTTCCCTCCCAAGCCTTCGCCTCACTATTGCCTGTGTTCATGGACTATGCATATAAGTTCCCCAGTCAATTTCTCCTCCCCCAGCCTTGAGAAGGCAAATTTTGGAGGCTGCCTATGAGCTGGATGGGGTAAAAGGGTACTGAGGGGCAGGGACAGTGCAGTCCTTGAGTAAAGTGTAGAGCTGACCCTAACCGGTTTGACTCAAGGGTCCCAGGTTCGATGCCGGTCAAGGGCATGTACCTTGGTTGCGGGCACATCCCCAATGGCCATGGGGCTGTGCCCACAACCAAAGTACATGCCCTTGACTGGAATCAAACCTGGGACCTCTCAGTCCCCAGGCCGACACTCTATCCACTGAGCCAAACTGGTCAGGGCTCTGGGGAAAATGGAGAGCCAAAAAAAGACCAAGGACATGGAGCTCCTAATTGATCTGGCCTGTAATTGAACCCTACTGCTGACTCTACAACACATGTACACTGACTCTTAGAGCTATCTTGTTTTTGTGTTTTTTAAAAATATACATATTTTATTAATTTTTTACAGAGAGGAAGAGAGAGGGATAGAGAGTTAGAAACATCGATGAGAGAGAATCATCGATTAGCTGCCTCTTGCACACCCCCTACTGGGGAAGTGCCTGCAACCAAGGTCCATGCCCTTGACCGGAATTGAACCCGGGACCTTTCAGTCCACAGGCTGACGCTCTATCCACTGAGCCAAACCGGTTTCAGCTGTTTTGTTTTTAATTGACTTGAAAGAGGGAGGGAGAGAGAGAGAGAGAAAGAGAGAGAGAGAGAGAGAGAGAGAGAGAGTTCCGAAAGAACCTCCTTCAGCAATTCATATAATTCTGGTTTGGCGATGATGAACTCCTTTAGCTTTTTTTTTATTATTATTATTATTAGTGAAGCTCTTTATCTGGCCTTGGATTCTACGTGATAGCTTTGCTGGGTAGAGTATTTTTGGGTAGAGAGAGAGAGAGAGAAAGAGAGAGAGAGAGAGAGAGAGAGAGAGAGAAACATCAATGTGACAGAGATACATTGATTAGTTGCCTCCCGCCTGTGCCCCAATCTGGGATCGAACCTGCAACCTAAGCTTGTGCCCTGACAGGGTTCAAATCCGTGATCTTCCAGTGCATGGGATGATGCGCCAACCAACTGAGCCAAACCAGCCAGGGCTAGACCTTTGTTCCTTAAATGGTTAGGAGCCAGGGAAGGCTCCACAGTCATTTATGCTTTACACAACATTTGCATAGCGTGCAAATGCACAGGGAAGTGGCGATAGGAATGGGGGGAATGGTTACTAAACTCACGTTCTCAGTAGGACTCCAATTTTTTTTTAAACTAAACCTTTATTGTTCATATTATTACAAAAGTTCCTCATTTTTCCCCCCTCCACCAGGTTCCTACCCCTCCCTCTGCTCTTTTCCCACCCCCCATTGTCCTCATCCATAGGTGCACAGTTTGTGTTCAGTCTCTTCCCACACCCCCCACTCCTCTTTCCCCTGAGAATCATCAGTCCACACCCCTTCCATACCTCTGATTCTATTATATTCAACAGTTAATATTGTTCATCAGGTTTTTTAATTCCCTTGGTTTTTAGATTCACTTGTTGATAGTTATGTATTTGTTGTTCATAATTTTTATCTTTATTTTCTTTCTCTTCCGAAAGAACCCCCTTCAGCAATTCATATAATTCTGGTTTGGCGATGATGAACTCCTTTAGCTTTTTTTTTTTTATTATTAGTGAAGCTCTTTATCTGGCCTTGGATTTTACGTGATAGCTTTGCTGGGTAGAGTATTTTTGGCTGTAGGTTCTTGCTATTCATCACCTTGAATATTTCTTGCCATTCCCGTCTGGCCTGCATGGTTTCTGTTGAGAAATCAGCTGACAATCATATGGGTGCTCCTTTATAGGTAACTACCTGCTTTTCTCTTGCTGCTTTTAATATTCTCTCTTTGTCTTTTGCTCTTGGAATTTTAATTATGATGTGTCTTGGTGTGGTCCTCTTTGGATTCCTTTTGTTTAGGACTCCAATTTTGAGCCCTTCCCCACACCATAGCCTGAAAGGCGGATAGACTACAGCGGTACACTTACCACCCCAGGATGGAGGCAGGGGACACTCCTGACTCCTATTGTTGCCCTCAGTGATGCCAGTCACCTTCATCCACCCAGCACTCAACTGGGTAACAGTGACTAAGTCTCACATGGCCAGTGACCAGCCAGGGAGGTCAGAGAGCCTTTGACCGATGAGTCACAGAGGCCATGACTGTGGAAGGTTGATGAGCCCACCATTAAGGTTGATGCCCCCAGGAAATGATGGAATTGGGGAACCAGCTCATGCTCAGCCCCCTGCAGAGCTCTCTCTTCACCCTGCCCATCTGTTTCTCTTTTCCTCACTCCACCCTTCAGTCCCTCTGCTTTTGTGAACAAGACATGAACCAATTGAAAATGATAATAGTGCTTGCTTTGGTAGCACCTATACTAAAATTGAAATGATACAGAAAAGGTTAGCATGGCCCTTACACAAGGATGACATGCAGATTCGTGAAGCGTTCCGTATTTTTGAGGCAGCTGATCAATGTTTCTCTCTCATCGATGTTTCTAACTTTCTGTCCCTCTCCCTTCCTCTCTGTAAAAAAATCAATTAAAAATAAAGAAAATGATAATATTTTTCTGATTAAAGTTGTGTGTGTGTGTGTGTGTGTGTGAATAAAGGTTATTCATTGCTCACTGTAGTAAATTTGGAAAATATTAAAATAAACAAGGAAGAAAATGAAAACCACCAGTAAATTCTACAAAGAAGAGAACTACTGATAACTTTGATACAGTTACTTGGAACTGTGATCCTGAGTTTGGCTCCAGCTCTGCCTGCCCCAGCTCAGTCCCTGGGAACTGGCTGCAGCGGGAGAGAAAGCAATAGAAAGTAGCGAGGATAATGGGGGAGGGACAGGAGCTGAGGAGAAAAAAGACGAGGAGGATACAAGGAAAAGGAGCACAGTTAAGATGAACGTGATAGCAGATTACTCCCCCAGGCACCTCATATAAGGAAGAAATCATCAGGATGTTTAGGACTGAGTGTGTTAGTGAGAGAGATGGTGGCTGTCATGACAGGTGACAGAGTGGGCACTCAGGCCTCCGAAGACCCTGGGGGATAGAACCACATTCTAGATACTGAGAATCCAGGAGAGAATTGAGGAAAAGGGTGAAAGCTGCCAGATAATTTATTTATTCAAATCTCAGCAACAATTCTGAGGGCTGGTATTATCGCCTCTTTGTAAAAAAGAAAAAAATAAAGTCTCTAATCGGTGGTTTTAGGTCACACAGCAAGAAGGAGCAGAGCCTCAGGCTCAAGCTACTATCTTTGCAGCCCGCCTCCCCCCCCCCCCCCCCCCCCCCCCGCTTCCTCCTTAGGGGAGCACCCAAACAAAAGCCCCTAGAGCCAGAGGCTGCAGGCAGGGCCTACGTACAAGGACTGCATGACTAAGTCTATTCCCATAATGGCGTCATGACTGCCCTCTGCCACCCCCTGAACCAGGGTGACCCAGCTCTTTCCCTCTGAATTTGTCATCTCTGGGGGGCGGGGAAGAGGGGAGAATGTGTGTG